CATGTAAGCCTGCATGGCATTTACCTGGTTGTTAAACAGTGAACTCTGATATATGAAAGCATGTTGTTTCTCATATTTATTCTGCATATGAGTTGTTTTTATTGTATTATTTTGGGGCGTGACAGAAACCACACAAAAATAATAAAAAAAGATAAGAATTTAGATATGGATCTAAAAAAAAATATTAAAACTCGCATTCATTTTCTCTTCCTCAAAAAATCAGACAACATTTTTTATGAAAGTTGTAAATATCTATCTATATCTTATATATTATATTATAACATAACAAAAAAAAAACTAAAAATCAGATATACAAATAGATAAAATTAATAAATTTAATTTTTATTTATTCAGTTAAAATTTTTCTTTTGCATCTCAATATCCAATTTTAAATTTTAAAAATCTTTAAAGTTTATCTAAACAAATCTAATTTGAAAATATCTCCTACTATTATATTTTAAATCAACAAAACTCACATGTCTGTAACATATCTAACTCACATCATAACTTATCTAAATAATTATAATTAAAAACAAATAGAAACCACAAATAAATTAAATTAAAAAAAATAGATATCCATAACTCCATCTTAAATAAATTGAAAAAAAAATATACCCGAATGGAAACCACACAAAAATAAAAATAAAAACATAAGAATTTAGATATGGATCTAAAAAAAATATTAAGATTTGCATTCCTTCTCTCTTCCCAAAAAAATCAGATAATATTTTTTTATGAAAGTTATAGATATCTATTTATATCTCATATATTATACTATAACATAACAAAAAAAAAAAAACCTAAAAATCAAACATACAAACAGATAAAATTAATAATTTTTTTTGTTTATTCAGTTAAAATCTTTCTTTTGCATCTCAATATCCAATTTTAAATTTTAAATTTTTTTAAAGTTTATCTAAACAAATCTAATTTGAAAATATCTCTCAACGTTATACTTTAAATCAATAAACTCACATGTCTACAACATATCTAACTCACATCATAATTTACCTAAATAATAATAATTAAAAACAAATAGAAACCACAGATAAATTAAATTAAAAAAAAAAAGATACCTACGACTCCATCTTAAATAAAATGAAAAAAAAACTCGAATAGAAACCACAGAAAAATAAAAAAGATAAGAATTTAGATATAGATCTAAAAAAATATGACAATATCTACATTTAAATTATAATTTAGTAATATAATTATCTATTTTTCTAATGTATATATATCAAAAAATTTAAATCATTTAATGAGACAAATTAATTAATTTTCAAGTCTTATTTAAAGAATAATCTGATTAGCCATCCTAACTCCTAAACTTCGCGTACACTGACAGGGAAACTAACGGATTGGGTTAGGTGGGGTTTAAATTGTTAGAGGTAACATTTTCAGACTCTATAAATTTATTTATTTTTTAATTTTATTTTTTTCCTGTGTGATTTTCTTTATCTATTGTTGGTTTGGTTTAACAAGAAGAGATATGTCATAATTCAGTTAATCTCATTTTATCAGATTTAACTTTTTTTTAAATACAAATTTGTTGGCACCATAAATCTGTAATTTTTATTATTATTTATTATTTTTATAATTGCAAGACATGTGGCATCCTCCTACTCATTTGGAGGTTATGAGAAGTTATGAAATGTGAAAAGATGATGGAGAATAAAGTGGAGAACATGAAGCATGAATTAGAGGTTAAAAGAAGTTATGAACACATGGAGGGATATGTGGCATTGTGGGAATGAAGATGGAAGAGTGGGTAGTTATAGTTGGTTATTAGGTAGTTATTGCTGAAAGTTTTTTCCTACAAATATTTGTCTATAAATAGCCATTCAGGGCTACATTGTAAAAGATCCAAAATTCAAATCAAAGACAATTAATTTCAATATTTCTTGTCATTTTCCTTATCTTAGGAGTAGTTTAATATATATTTATATTTCGAAGCATTTATTTTCAGCACTTCCTTTTCAAATCATTTAATGTATTTCCTTTCGAAGCATAGAAGTAGAGGTAAGTAATTATTACTTTGATTATTCGCTCAATCGTCTTTCTCCATCTCCCTCATTCTTCTTTTAATTTTTCTTTTCTCTACACTTTGGCAATTTTGAAGTTTTCTTTGTTGAGGCAAAAGAACCGTCAACGCAATCGCTTGATAATTGACTTAAATTTAATTTGTAAGGATTTTTCAATCCTCGCTGATACACTCGCATTTATGATATTTTCCTTCGTAAGAAAAATAAGCCAACAAAATTATCAAAATTGTCCTATATATATATATAAATATATTTTTTAATTTTTTTAAACTAATAATTTAAAAAGTTATAAATATAAAAATTAATTTATAAATTTCATATATACTACAAAATAAAATATTAAATTACTTAAAAGTAATTATAATATATATTTTTTTTAATCACAGATTACCACTAGGATAATGATTAATCAGAGACATGTCTGTATAGTCCTGAACCACGATAATTTTTTTAGGAAAATAAGTGAGAGCACTAATTAGTGCTATCATTAATGATATGATAGTGGGTCCTACTAGGAATGATTTGATGTTTTGACTTTAATGTTATATTTTTTTTTTTTATTGAGTAACATGTCATTAGTAGTCTTTTTAGAATTCCAAAATTAATGGTCTCTATCATTGTTGATTTTTCTATCATTTAAGTAGCCCCACGCACGGCAGGTGTGTCTATCACCTCACCTCACCTCACATCACAAATAATGTACCAATAATATAATACAATTGACCGGCACAGAGATTTAAGTGATTGTTTGAAATGTTTTAAATAAGTATATTTTTTAATTTTTTATAAAATATAGATTATGTTTAAAGTGATGTAGTAGATAAGTAATGTGACTTAAATAGAATGGTGACTTTTTGATTTTTTTGTGTTATGCCAAACTTAGCCTTAAAAAGTTAGTTAAAATTAATTTTTAATTTTTTTTTAGTTTTTTTAATAAAAATTTGTGTAAAAAATATGAAAAATAATCAGTGCATTTAATTTCTATTTTTTGAATTTAGTTTTTAAAATTTGAATTTTTTTATTTTTTTTGTATTTTTTAGTGAATATTTTTTAAAAAAAATTAGATCTATCTTATTTAGATATATTTAAAAAGTAAAAATATTTGTGAAAAATATTTTAAAAAATTAATAAATATACAAAAAAATACGAAAAATATATTAAATTTTTGTATTTTTTTTATATTTTTGGTATTTTGTAAATTTTTTAAAGTTTTTTTTACGAAAATTATATTTTTTAAATGTATTTATGTTAAGTGTGTCTAAAAATTAAAAAAATTATTTAAAATATTAAAAAAATTAATAAAAATACAAAAATACAAAAAGTAAAATTTTTTAAAAAAACTAAAAACAAATATGATGAATGTGATCCAAAATAAATTAAAAATGAATTTTTAACTACATGAAGAGAGGAACTAAACAATAGCTCACCAACATCATTTGGTGGTCACCATCATTCTCTATCACTTTTCAATAGGGGTGAGCATGGTCCGGATTAAATCGGATTGGGGTAAAATCAAGACCAATTCGTTATCTACGGTTCCTGAAAAATTGGAACCAATCCAATCCGTTTCAATCATGGAACCAATCCGAACCAATCCATTTAAATACGGATTGGATCGGTTTAGGATCACGGATTCACATAATTAAATAACAAAAAAATATACATATAGCACTTTAATTTCATAAAAACATAAACATAACGCTATATTAGTTCCACAAGAGGAACATGTTATTCTATAATAGCGACATACTGTTCTAGAATTTAAATAACTATAAGAAAAACTAGTTTCATCATAAGTATTTAGACCATTACAAATTAAAACTAAAAACTAACAAACAAAAGTAATAAAAGAAGATATTATACGGGTTTAGATTTGAGTTTAGGTTTTATATGGAATAAGAGAAGATACTATGGGGGAAGATGTATAATAAAAATATAGACTATTTATATACGGTCCGGATCGATCTCAATCCAGAACCGTGGGGTTCAATCTAAAACCAATCCATGGACTACGGATTTTTAATTCTTTAATCCGAAACCGAACCACGGATTCAAAAAATCAATCCAAACCTATCGGATTGGACTGAACTGGATCGGATTTAGATTTTATATAGAATAAGAGAAGATACTATGGGAGATGATGTATAATAAAAATATAGACTATTTGTATACGGTCCGGATCGATTTCAATCCGGAACCGTAGGGTTCAATCCGGGTTTTTAATTCTTCAATCCGGAACCAAATCGCGGATTCAAAAAACCAATCCAAACTTATCGGATTAGACTGAACTGGATTGAATTACAGATTTCGCAAATTCCTTGCTCAGCCCTACTTTTCAATGAAACAAAATAGAAATAAAAAAAATATTACAAAACCATTCATAACTTGCCTTTGACCACCTGATTTTTGCTTCTTTCTATTCTTTCAAATCATTGAAATCATGTTTTTGAATAGGCCTTATTAATAAATACCTTGAGTATAAAAACAAGGGCAAAAATAAATAAATAAATAGTAAATAAAATAAAGTCACACATACACATGATAACCTTTGGATTAAATCCTGCAAAGAGTCAAGATATCAAAAATCACTTTTAGATAGATCCTACATAATTGATCCACTTACTCATTACTTTGTTCATAGAGGCCCAAAGTAAGTGGGTTTTCAAAATTCTTAAAAGAGAACCAGTAAAGATAGTCTAACTAATTAGTCGAGGACAAGAGATCAGAGATAAAAGAATATGCTTTTTTTTAAAATTTTAGGTTCAAATCTCACCCCTAATTGGCTACTAGCGGACCATTGTGTGTTTACCTGATTGATCGGCTCAAATCCTTGAGATTAGTCGAAATTCAACACTCCGCAAAGCTGCTGACCCAGACACACAGTTATAAAAATACATATATATATATATATGTATATGTCTTAAGTGCTATAAAAAATTTAACGTAACGAGACACGGATCGAGAAACAAAAGTCGAGTCTTACATTATGTGACTTATTTGTAAAAATCATCTGTACACTCACATCTACTCAAACCAAAGTACAAGCTGGCAAAGGAAGCCAACAACAACATCTGCTAAGGCTTTTGAGCTTTCCAAAAATCCTGTGTATACCAAAAAGCTTTTAATAATTCCTTGTCCTCAACAATCTTCAATCTGCTCTTTGTACAGTTGTCTTAAACAAGAGGACATAGAGCTTATGATCCATTGAGAAATACAGAAACCCACCTACTGAGTGCGTCACAAAAGACCCAAAACTAGTCCCTACAATACAGTGCCAAGCTGGTCCATAAACCCCATCAAATTCCTGCAAGAAATTCACAAAACCCATTAATCTATTGGCCAAATTACACTACTCTGTCCCCTCAGTTTGAGAGGTGTTCCACTTTGATCCATAATTTCAATTTCATCACACTTCCAATTGTGTTTCAACGTTAATCCCTCTGCAACTCAAGTGCACATTTAACAATTCCTACCCACAACAGAAAAATGAATAAATTACCCCAAGGTCCCAATAGTATGTTTTAATTTTAATTTGGTCTTAGTTTTACAAAATGTTAATGGTAAATTGAAAGTGTGAAACTTAAATTAATGAAATTGAAATTAAAATTAAAATCACAAGGACCAATAGAGTAATTTACCCTACCCCATCAATCAATTAATCAAAAAACCCACATCTCAAATTGAAGCAAAAACGCCCAAACACAGTAGAGTACCTTCTTGAGAGTAAAAGCCAGGGTCTTGGAAGTGAACTTTTCCAAGCTATCATGGGTTTTTCTTGCACAATCCACAGCATGAACTTGCATGAATGGTGGCATATCAACAGAGACCACTTTCACACCAGAACAGCTGAAGAAATCAACCAACTCAGCCTGAGGATTACAAAAAGACCTCCGCATACCACCACTCACAGCCAGTGAAAATGGTGGTTTTTTCAAATCATCCCCTTCATGAGCAATCTTCAATCCACTATTATGACTCTTTGAGAGTGAAACAGATGGTCTCTTTGTATCATGCTCCTCATGAAATTCCTTCTTTGCCCTCTCTTTCTTTGCTGATTTCTTGACTATGACCCCTGTAATTGCAACCCTTAGCTTATCCTTTTCAATCTCAGCCACAGTTTTTCTAATTGGGTAGTTTGATTTGGAGGTGGGTTTGGTAGAGGTGTCTTCAATTGCAGAAACAGACATGGGTTTTGCTTGGAAATGGGTATTGTCAATTTGGGGTTTTGAAGGAGGGTTTGGTCTTTTTAAGCTGCGTTGATGATTTGTGTATAGCTTTGAAAATTGTTTGGAGATGTTGTGGATGGTGGTTGAGGAGGCAATAGTGGGATCTAGGTCTGTTGGGTGCTTGGGTTTGGTGGTAGTGGTGGTGGTGGTGAAGGGGGTAGAGTTCGATTTGGGTTGCTTTTTGTGTGTGGGATCCATGGATGTCTTTGGGGGGTCTAGAGCTGCTAAGTTGCGCCGGTGGGTGGTGTGGTGTGCCATGGTGGTGGTGGGGATGAGTTTTAAGAGGAAATGGAGTAGGGTGTGTGTGTTTGGGCGTACCCTTTTAGGTGGAGAGAGAGAGAGAGAGAGAGAGAGAGAGGAGTGGGGCTGAGGGTGGTGGAGATGGGGGTGGTGGGATTCAATGGATGGGGATTTGTGTGGTGAGATCTGGTTGTAGTTTGTTTTAACGTGCGCCGGGTGCGGAGGACAAGGAGGGGAAGAAATGCTGGTCCTAGAATCTGTGTTTGACTTGATCTGTTTGGGGAAAATCTTGCGTGGTTCTAGGAGCATAATACTTAACATGCGACTCATATATTATTTTATATACAATAATATTATCAAAGGTTTTTTTTATTGATAAATCTTATTTAGAGGTATTTTAACCCAATAAGTCTATCAAGAAAAATTATAACATAGTTAGTCTTATATATTTATACTTTTATTTTATTTATTATTTTAGATAGGAAAAACAATTACACAAAAGAAGGAGCCTCAGAAAACACCAACGTCGCTAAAAAAGAGGGGACCTACTCCATCCAAATATGTAGTGAATCAAAATCTAAAGCTAACCTACTCAAACAATGAGCCACATAATTGCCTTCTCAATAACTATACGAGACCGATGAGGAATGGAAATGCAAGAGTAGCGGCTAAGCCACACCTACGAAATGACCATAACAAGAAAAGTTATCCACCTTGCCTTGGATTGCAGACACCACATTTAGAGAATCGCCTTCCAGCTGAACATTACCCAATCCCAAATCACACCCCAATTGAAATGCTTTGACCGCACCCAAAGCTTCTACACAATCAACATCCCCCAGATAAGGAAGTCGCTCAACCATAGAAGCAATAACCGCCCAATTATTGTCCCGAACAATAATCCCAATACCAGCAATGGCTTGGGCCTTCCGAACCGTGCCATCAAAATTCAATTTAAAGACACCCGCGCTTAGCACAACCCACCTGCATAACCGTATCCAATGCACTGGAATTTGGCTACATTGTTAAGCTTGATCATACTCTATTATGTACTTCTCAACAAAAGCCACAACCTCATCCACAATCCTTGACTTTTGTTCAAATATAATTGAGTTACTTTGATTCCATAAGCGCCAACACAGTGTAATAAATAACTTCAGCTACTCCATATCATATTTGGCCATAATAGTACTAACCCATTGAAAGTAATTTGTCGCAGGCGTAGCATTGAGAACCATAGAGATCGAGCTTGACATCCACACTTGCGTCGCAAACCAGCAATTATGAAAACAATGGCCTACGGTTTTAGCCTCAACTCTACACCCTGCACATAAATCCATATGAACAATATGTCGTTTCCTCAAATTTGCCCGCATCGTTAACAACCCAAGACACATTTTCTAGGCAAAGATCTTGAATTTATTCGGAATATGAAGTTGCCAAAGAGCTCTCCAGAACTGCCTATTTGACATTCCATCATTGGAGGTGGCACTATGGCCCTTCGAAAGGCCTATATCCACACACAAATGACACGCCGAACGCACCGAAAACTCTCCATTCTGTGAATAATGCCAGACCAATTTATCCGAAGGGAAAGTTGGACAAAGAGGAATTCGTCGAATAGCTTCAACATCCATTTGCAAAAAATTGTTGAGTAAGAATCGCATCATGCCAACCACCATTCTGGGAATCAATCAAGGCACTAACCTTCGTATTGTCCGGAAGAGTTGAAGGTGGCAAAATTATCTGAAAAGAATGAGGTCTTGGAACCCATTTATCTTGCTTAATCGAGATACTCTCACCATTCCCAACTCGCCATTGCAACCCAACATTTAGCAAACTTCTAGAGCCCGCTATACTCCTCCAAGTGAAAAGATGGATTGCGTCCTATTATTGCATCAAGGAATGAATTTTGAGAAAAATACCTTGCTTTTAACACCCGTGCGACCAATGATTGAGGCCGTTGCACTAAGTGCCAACACGGTTTGGCCAACATAGCCATGTTAAACTGTTGAAGGCATCTAAATCCCATACCTCCATGCAATTTAGATTTGCACAAATGCTTCCAGTTAGTCCAGTGAATTTTACGGGCTTCCTTTTTTTGTCCCCACCAATAGTTGCACACCATGGAGTCAATTTCATTACACACTCCATCAGGTAGCCGAAAGCAAGACATAATATAAGTAGGAATTGCTTGAGCAATATATTTAATGAGGACTTCGCTACCCGCAACCGATAGGGATTTTTCTTTCCACCCATTTAATCGCTGCCATACTCGTTCCTTAACAAACCCCAAAACTGTCCTTTTAGAATGCCCCACACAATATGGTAATCCCAAGTACTTCCTATACTGTGCCAGAGAACCCACCTTAAGAATTGATGTCATCACTTGCTGAGTAACCAAGGACATATTTTTACTAAAACAAACAGCTGATTTTTGAAAGTTAATTTTCTGCCCCGACACTTGCTCATACGATTGGAGGACAACTCGCAATACACCCACCTCATCTTTATTTGCGGTTGCAAAAAGAAGACTATCATCCTCAAAAAACAAATGCGATAAGCGTGGACTACCTCTACAAATTGATATCCCAGACAACCGATTGTCCGCCATAGCATGTGACAGAAGCGCCGACATTCCTTCTGCACAAATAGTGAACAAATATGGCGATAGTGGATCCCCCTGTCGGAGCCCCCTGGTTGAGTGAAACATTCTTAAAGCCTTCTCATTGACAAGAATTGAAAAGGATACCGTCGACACACAATTCATGAGGAGCTGCACAAAATGATGCAGAAAACCCAACTGGAGCATCATATGATGAAGAAATGGGCATTCCACTCGGTCATAAGCTTTACTCATATCAAGTTTCAATGCAAGAAATCCATATTTTCCCCTCCGCTTGTGCTTAAGAAAATGGAAAACTTCAAAAGCCAACAGCGCATTATCAGTGATCAAACGGCCTAGTATAAACGCACTCTGAGTGTTTGAAATGACTGATGGCAACACCCCTTTAAGGCGATTGGCCAACACTTTTGCAATTATCTTGTAGACAACATTACATAGACTGATTGCCCGAAATTCTGACATATACTTAGGTGTCTTTATTTTAGGAATCAGCACAATAAATGTATGATTAATCTGTGAGATATCATCAACTCCATTCAATACCCCAAGCACAACAGCACTCATGGTAAGACCCACCACATGCCAAAATTTTTGAAAGAATAAAGCAGGCTTACCATCAGGCCTGGGTGCCTTCGTTGGATGCATTTGAAAAAATGCATGATGGACCTCAACTTCAGAAAAAGGTCTACTTAATTGAGAAGCACTGGGATCTGAAACTCTCGCTTGAATCAACTGTAACACTAGGTCCATGGTCAAACCCACGCCTGCCGAAAATAACTCCTGAAAGTAATTCACAAAATTGTCCTCCACCACTCTATGCTCTTCTTGCTAAATCCCATTAAAATCAACAATCCCATCAATCTTCTTTTTTTTATGTCTTTGGGTGGCCTTAGAATGGAAAAAAGAAGTATTACGGTCCCCATCCTTTAGCCAATTAGCTCTAGCTCGTTGTCCCCAAAAAATTGATTCTCGTTCTAAAGTCTCATCAATGTCGCACCGTAGTTGACTCATTTTTTCCACTTCATCTGGAGAATTGGAACACGTCGTAAACAATCTCGTGAGGTGGTCAGTTTTCTCCTTCAACTGTCTCTTTACACACCCAAACACATTTCGGTCTCACCGTCGCAACGAAGAACTCACATGGGAATATATTAGATACCAAACCCCGAACATCCACATTAGGAGTGGCCAGCCAATTGTCGACAACCACTTGCTCACAGCTAGCATTCCGTAGCCACATAGCCTCGAATTGATAAATTCGATGGCTACTAGCACGAGATTGATGTTGTTTCTTATCCCCACACAGGTCAATACAAAAAGGCAAATGATCTAAAGAGGTGCAAGCCATAGGATAAACCTTTGCATGGGGAAACAAGACCTGCCATGCATCATTAGCTAATCCACGATCCAACCTTTCCCGAACCAAAGCCGTCCCACCTCGGTTGTTGGACCAAGTGAAAGGTGGCCTAACAAAACCATGTCAGCAAGGTGTGAATCCTCGATAGCATTTCGAAACTTTTCCATTTGTGATTGACTGCGGCCCAACACTTCACACTTCTCGCGACTGAACAAAATTTCATTAAAATCACCCATACAAAGCCAAGGCAACTGGAAGCACGCCTCAAACCGTCTCAATAAGGCCCAAGAATCCTTCCTTTAGACCGTTTCAGGATGTCCATAAAACCCCGTAAAACGCCAAGGTTGGTCCCCCAAGCCAGACTCTACAAATGCGTCGATATGGCCAACCGAATAAATTTTCACACTAACCTGGATACCCTTAGGCCATAATAGAGCAAGACCGCCCGCAAGGCCAACTCAATTGACATAAAATCCACCTACCAATCCAAGCTTTTGACGAATCCCATCCATATGTTTCAAATCGAGTTTGGTTTCCATGAGAAAAACCAGCCCAGGAACTTCCATCTTCAATAAAAGCTGAAGTGACCGAACTGACCAAGGGTTCCCAAGCCCACAGCAGTTCCAGCATAAAACATTCATTGGGATCAGTGGGGCTCAGCCGCCACTATTGAAATATTGTATGGTGGGTGTAGGACATCACTCTCATGCACCCGCAAACGTTTCCCAATGTTCCCAACCCCACTTGCATCACTCTGTTTTACACCACAAGGTATCTCCTCATCTACTGCTCGCTTTGACCCAACAGTATATGGTCAATTAATCGGTGGACCCATCTGTTGGCAAACCGCCCTCTTCCATTTTGTTTTAGGCAACACTGATCTACCTAATGGGCTGTCCCCATCCTCCATAAAAGCATTAGGAGTTGGGCCAAACAATTGGGCCATCTTAAGTGACTCAACTAAATTGGGTTTGACTCCGCTTAGGCCCAAACCAGCCCTAGAATTATCAAGCCCAGTACCCCCCTCGTCCTTAACCGTCCGCTCAATCACTAATTGAAAAAGATTAGATGATGGGGAAGATAGGTTATATAACTAATTTGTAACAAGATTCAAATTAACTCCTTGACTAACGCCATCAATCACGGGCAAGAGAATTTTCCCAACATTTCCTTTCCGAC